AATCTTTAAAAAAAAATCAGATGAACTAGCACCTGTGTTGACTATCCATGTGTTGAGTTTGCTAGTCTGGACTATGTGTCCAAGGATATTTCTGATTGTTTCTGATTAGAGCGGGCCACAAGAGATTCTTTTGAAATTTTGGAGGGTAGAAGGATACCTTCATCACCAAAAATCAGAGGAAACAGGACAGATAAGTCTGTTCTTAGGGGATTCCAGCTCATGTTCCTGGTCATGCTTGTGGTTCTCAGCTCATGATTATTGGTTCCAATCCTTTTGTGATCATCCTTTCTAATTTAATCTTAGAATTCCATGCTCGATCATCAGGCATAGTGACAAGCCATGAAGAGACTACAAACCCAGCCCCTACAATTGCATAAACCAATTTCCTTTAACAAATCTCTGTAAAATGTATATTCAGGGCCCTCCTTGTTGCAGCGGGCTAAAGCACAGCACTAAAGAAGCTAAAGCCGCTTCCGCATGAGTTCGATCCCTGCCCCGGAAGTGACCCACATGGCGTGGCAGACCTCTCCTGACCCGTCTGCCGCTCCCCTCAGCAATGTACTTCGGATCTGCCTGTTCTGCTCCCCACTCTGTCTCTGGTGAATCCTCTCACCGCCCCTGCATCTTTGGCCTATACTCTAGCTCTGTATGCACAAATAAATCTTTAAAAAAAAAATGTGTTTCACTCCATTCCTACTTATTCTGCTTTTATGGTTGAATCCTTACTGATGTAGACACAGGGCCCAAACTATATGGTTCCATTTAAATAACATTCTAGAAAATGCATGCTTATCTATACTGTAAAAATCTGAGAGTGCCCGGAGATAGGGAGCAATAGGTGAGGGATGTTAGGAAGGAATAATGAAGGAGAAAGAAGAAACAACTTCAGGAGATGATCGGTAGGTCTATTATTTTGAGGGTGGTGATGGTGTCACTTTAAATATGTGCAATTCATTATCCATCACGTTCAGGAAAATATTTTATTTTTTTGAATGCAGGAAAGAACTGCTATTTCCTCATTAATTAGCTCAAGCCACCTAAAAATAAAATCCTAGGACTTTTTGGGCTTTGTTGTGTCACCTTCACTATATAAAGGAAGTGGTAGAACAGATAATATTTAATAACAGGAAGCTGAAAGTAAGGCAAAGAGCTTCTTTCTGACCCATGATAGCCCTTCCCTGACATGTTAGGCTCACCACTAGTTTAGTTATTTTATTTCAAACAAGAACAAAGGGGAGAAAAATCAATAAGCCAGTCACTGTCTCACAGATGCGCTCCTGCCTCCGAAGGGAGTATTCCCTCTCCTGGGGCGCCAAAGAAGCAGGCTAAGTCCAGAGGACTTAGTGGAGGGGACTGGGGTTGGGAATTCAGGACTCCAGTGTGTCTGTGAGGACAAGAGTTTCCAATCAACAGTCATTCCCTTATCAAGTAAAAAGAGAGAGCTAGGTAAGCTTTTTAAAAAACACATTTATTTAAAATTTTTTACATAATCTTTGGGTAATTCAGAATTAGCTTATGTATGTTTCAGCAGTTTCTGAGACTGTTGTCTCAACACCAAACCAATACCAATAGTATATTTGATTGGGGGAAAGATGGGCGGATCTCATGATAGAGAATGAAGAGGTGGCTACTGAGGAGGACAGGGTCTTTTCCTGCATGACTTATAAATTATCTGTCACAAGTAGGAAACATTGCATCAGATGAACTAGAACACCTTTATCTTATTTATGTACTACAGCTTCCACATATAGACGACACAGAATTAAAAGTTCAGAATCATAAATTAATTTGATCCCTTATATTAATAACAATTAAAAGCTAGCATCTACCCAGTGTAGTCTCAGTGTCCACACCAACTTGATTCCCTTGCTAATGGAATGCCACCTTCCCCTGTATTGCAGTCAAGATTCAAAGATGGAGGTGAGTACCAAATCAGAACAGGAGCTCCTGGGCACAGGGAGGTGGAAGAGACTCACTCCACCCATCAGTAAGTCTGAGTCAGATTGAGCTATCTGCAGAGAACTGGTGGGTGGGTGCGTTATGCGCCCCCATGTCTGGAATGGTTTCCTGGGTGTTCCAAGTAGGGTAGTTGTTGTCTCCCACCAGGATAGTTAATTCTCTGAGAACAGGGCCCCTTCTCTGACCTTCTGCAAAGCAGGGTCCTGCCCAGGCATCAGCACAGAGCAGGTCTTTCATGAAGGAAACCAGCACCTCTAAGTCCTGTACCTGCCAGGTACAGAGTCAGGGTGGGTTTCACATAACCCTCATGACAACCTGCACCACCCCCATTTTACAGATGTGAAAACAGAGGCAGAGAGAGGAGAATTTGCACTTGGTGGCATAGCGGGTAAATAGGGAGCATCAACTTGAACACCCCGGGCTGCTTTTTCCAGGCTTCTCTGCACAGCCTACACTGGCCAACAGTTTGGCAGCAATTGCATATCCAGCTGCACTCCGCTGGTTTGGAGCACACATGAGAAGCTCTGAGCATGAGGGCAAGCTTCGGGGGCCCAAAAGCCTGGGCCAGCAGTAAGCATCCATCCTCAGGGGCCAGACCGGTCCCACATGGGGACCACACAGTCCAGGGAATGGGACTGAGCAGGATGATCCAAAGAGCAAGACTGCAGGGCTTTCTGCCAGAGGGTCTGGCACGGCTCCCTGCCGGATAGGGCAGAGAGTATGGAAATCTGATCGACCCTATGTAGATCAGTTATGATGCCCAAAGTTCTGCCCGCTGATACCGACTTTAAGTTCTGGGAACCACATTCCCACTCCCTGAGAGACCTTGCACAGAAGGCCCACAAAGGACAAAAAAATAAGGTCAGGACACCTTTAAGGTAGGAAATGCTTGAGAGGGAGAAAATTATTTTAAAGAGTTAAAAAAAGATGGCAGTTAGAACAATGAGGGTGGGTGTTAAAAAGGAAGTGTTGGATACAGTGTGAAAACCCAGCTGGAAGGAGAGCGTCAGGCCAGACCGAGCCAGGACAAATCAAATTTTTGGCACCCACTTTTCCTGGTATGTGCCAAGGGGTTTGTACTCACTGCCTCAGACTTGGGTAGGGGTCTTTCTCAAAACATAATTTGAGTTTAAGTTCAGGCAAGTCTTAGAGAATAAGTACAGATAATAAAGTTGTAGAAAGCACAACTCAACTATCTTCAACAAAATCTGCCTGACCAGTTCCTCCCCTTCCCCTGGAACCCACTCCACTACCCAGCGTTGCGCAGCCTTCCATGACAACCACAGCCATGCATGGCCCCGGGGGTGGTCCCTGGGGATGCGGACAGATGGCACAGCAGACCTGTCTCAATACAGGCCCAGCAGCACGGTCCTACACATTGCTGCCACTGCCCTGTGAGCCACCTGGGATTGGGGACGATGCCTTCTGTATGTCCACCTCCAGATGGAAGTGATGTATTTCATCACGACCCTTTGCTCAGGAGAACCCAGGTGAAGGACCAGCCAAATCAGCCAGAGAGAAAGGAACACTGTCCCCCTTGGGGACAACTTTGTTCTGGAGGAATCCAGCATATTTCCTATACCCTGGACCTCTTACTTGCCTCCCCTCCCCCAGGGCTATAGCTCCTGTAGCCCACAATCAAAATTTGGGGGAATGATTTGAAAACATGAAATCCACATCACAGTGCAGATTTCACATAATACAGAGTGCTGGTTGACATGAGTGGCATCATTCAGGTGGGCAAAGCACTCAGCTTTGGCAGCATGGGTGGCAAAGGTTGATCTTGCATCTGCTGCAGGGAAGGAGAGAACTCTGTCTGGAAAGAATGTCGGGGTATGTGTACACATGTGTCATGGGCACAGCTCCCTTCTGCAGCTATGGAGTAGCTACCTCCTTGCCTGCGGGTGCTTGAGGCCCCAGGGACAGGCTGGGACTGTTCAGAAACTTGGTCTTCCCAGGCCGGAGTGGCCAAGAGAACACCTTGAAAATGTCCAATGGAGAAGGGTAAAGACACCTGTCACGAGACCAGGCTCAGCAGTGAATCCTCCGGAAGCCAGGCAGTGTGGCTTTTCCAAACAGGTAAATATCCTCGTCTGTGCCCTGGTTGAGGTGCTTCACCATGTTCTTCTCAAAAAGCAGCGGGTGGTAGGCGCCCATGGTGCAGGCACTGTCAAAGAACTTCTGGTAGTAGTAGCACACATCTGTCTTGCGCTTGGATGGGAGGAACTCGTAAATGTCCACCTGGTCACACAGTGTCATCATGATGATGATGCCTAGAGAGGGGACACAGGTGAGTCCTTCCCAACAACCTGTCACACCTCCCGAGCTCTGCCCAAAAAGTCCAGCAGCTTGAGGCCAAATTTGAAGAGTTGTCTCTCTAGAGTTTCTATTGATTTCTCTGCCCCCAATCTGAGTTCTTCTGGTGAGCTAATCCACCAGGCTGTTCACTGGGGTGCATGACCAGTTGATCCTGAAGCACCTTTGGCTTATACCTAGGTCAGGGCAGGTCCTCCTGACCACTAGAGACTGAAGGGCTCAGTCTCCTCGGGTAAGAGATTGGAGCCCAGGGGATGTAGCGTAGAACACTGAGAAGTAACCAACACAAGGAGGAGAAGGTGCTACCACTTTTGCTCGTCCCTCCTGGCTCAGTACAGGACTCATCCTTTTCTGGGCCTCAGCTCTTCATCTGCACCAAGGCAATGATCAAGGCTGCAGTAAGACCATGGCTCTCAGACCCCTTTGTCAATTGTAAAAATGGGGAGCTTTATGATGGAACAGTTCTCACTGACAGCAAAATTTTATACAGCTAGAGGCAACTTAGTTCCAGAAGCCCTCTGCCCTCTGGCCATCCTGGCTCAGAGTGGGAGAAAAGATAACAGATGTTAGTTATAGGGCATGGCAATGGCCTTACAAATTACAGGAGGTAGCACTTCCTATGGAAGGGCTCAGGCAAACCTCACAGAGTACCACAGAGGGGCCTAGCAGGGGCTATGGCCATCAGGGGTGGGTGGAGGAGGAACAGCATGGACACAGGTGGCCAGTAGATAGCAACAGGGATGGATGCGCCTCATGTTTCTCCAACCGCTCCTCCTTGAAAGGACTCCAGGAAGAGCCCGAAAGATCCATCCAGAAGTTGAAGCAGAAGATGTAAAGATGATGTGATAGCATGACTCTCTACCTCTTTCTAGACTAAGTATCTTTGATATTAATCACTTACTTGTTCTAAGGGAACACTTACCACAAGCTTAAACCTTTATGATCTCATAAAGGTGAGTTAACACAGACCCCAACCTAAGAACATTTGTAGTTTAACAGAGGAGGTGAGAGGCAACTTATACAACGGTGAGTGGCTGGGGGGCTCTGGTGGGAAAGTGGCCCTCAAGGGGACCCATGGGAGGGCGTTCCCTTCCCATACACTTATGGATCCTGGAACCTGGTAGAAATTTCCATGGTCCAGTCAAATTCAAAATGAAAGAGAGAAGGGCAGACAGGCCAGGGGGATTGAGGGGTCTGAAGAAAGCCCAAGAAGAGTCTATACTCAGTAGTCAGGGCCCTCTGCCCCTCAGCCGCTTAAATTAGCTTCCACACCTTCTTGGCCCCCAAGCCAATCAAACTTCAACACTCATTCTTTTCTGAGGGGTGAGATTAGGATGACAGGTGAACTAGGGTGAAATTTTGAGTAAAATATTATTGATTCTTCTCTCAGATTCGGATATGATTAATAGCATTATTACTGATCTGTATTTATTCAAAATTCTGATCTGTTACTCATCATAAAGTTTTGTATTAGTGGTGATTTTTTTTTTTAAGATTTATTTATTTATTCATATGAAACTGGGGTATAGGCCAGAGATGTGGAGGGTGAGAGGATTCACCAGAGACAGAGAGGGTAGCAGAACAGGCAGAGTGACGAAGTACACTGCTGAGGGGAGCAGTGGGCGGGTCAGGAGAAGTCTGCCTCGCCATGTGGATCTCCTCCAGGGCCGGCGGGATTCGAACTCATGCAGTAGTGGCTTTAGCTTCTTAGTGCTGTGCTTTAACCCACTGCGCCACCAGAGAGGGCCACTGGTGATTTTTTTTAAAGATTTATTTATTTGTGCATACAGAACTGGGGTACAGGCCAAAAGTATACAGGGTGGTGAGAGGATTCACCAGAGACAGAGTGGGGAGCAGAACAAGCAGATCAGTGAACTACATTGCTGATGGGAGCAGCGGGTGAGACAGGAGAGCAGCTACAGCCAACTTGTAGTGCTGCATTTTAACCTGTTAAGTGCCTTGATCTCCTCATCCAAGTCCCAATATTTCCCCCCGGTCCCTACGCTCCCCCATTCTCTGTGCTTGCCTTTTCTCTATCTCTGCCTGTCATATCCACCCTTCTCCCTGGCCTGGTCTATTGCTGCTCCTCCACAAAGCACACCAACCACCCAGACTAAGTACTCTCCTCTGGCAGCAGGTAGTCACCGCTCCTGGAACTCCTGACTGAACTCTTTCAATGGGTACCTTAAAGAAGGATGCTGAGCCCTCCTTGGTGGGGCAAGGGACTAAAACACAGCACTATGAAGCTATCTGCAGTCACTGCAGCCAGAGTTTGATCCCCAGCAAGGGAGGTGACCCACATGGCGAGGCAAACTTCTCCTGGCCCGCCTGCTGCTCCTCTCAGCAGTATGTTTTAGTACATCTGCCTTTTCTGCTCCTCACTCTGTCTCTGGTGAATCCTCTCACCCCCCCCATACCTCTGGCCTGTACCCCAGTTCTTGTATGCACAAACTTCTCCTGGCCCGCCTGCTGCTCCCCTCAGCAGTGTGTTTTAGTACATCTGCCTGTTCTGTTCCTCACTCTGTCTCTGGTGAATCTTCTTACCCCCCACACCTCTGGCCTGTACCCCAGTTCTTGTATGCATAAATAAATGTTTAAAAATGGAGAAATAGGAGAAAAATTCCATCCTATCGATCTCTGAATCCTAGTTAGAATGTTGCATAGTGTGCAATTGTTTGTTGAATGAATGAATAAGACCCCAGAAGAACTAAACACAAAAGGTTTTCCCCAGACAGCCTCACCAAGCATCCCGGAAGACGGCGGGTTTGGCTGGATCTCCTCTGAAGAGATTTCCTGAATGATGTCCCACAGCTCCCAGGGCATCTGGGGCTTGAGGATATAAAAGGGCTGATCAGGATGCTGCTTCCGATAGGTCTTGTAGTTATCAAAGAAATTGTAGTCAGGATTCTTGTACCACTGAAAAAGAAGAAAAGGGTCTTCTCAGTCAGAGAAATGTGCCAGGCTTGCTGCATCAACAGCCAACCCTGTCTGACTACTTGAGAGGGGAAAGGACCAAAGCAGAGTCCTGGGGTGCAGCCCTTCCTCACGGCGGATTCCAGATTTTGCCTCACATGATAGGTTCGCTCACTAGCAGAGGGACCCTGAACGCAGTCTGTGCACACAGGAGTTTTGAATGCAAAACAGCTTCAGCCTTCAGGATCCTAGTCTGGGAATAGTATCAGAGCTGAATGGGGCCAAGTCATCACCTGACCCAGATGCTGATTTTGAAGAAGGAAAAGACGAGGTCACAAGTTGCTACAGCTGAGGGTTCAGAATCCTGGTTCTCACTTGGGCAAATCTGGGTACTAAGTGAGATGAGCACAAAACTGGAAACTGAGGTAGTGAGGGTACCTCCCTCCCTAACTCCATTCTACTGTGGCCTCTGCAGCCTGTACTCAGAAGAGGCCAGGTGACTTGCACAACCAACAGTGAGAGGGCCACTGTGCCGGGAAGGGGCTCCTGCAGGCCCAAGACTCTGGCTCATCCCCTGGGAGAGCTGGTGTTGCAGATCTAGGCCTCTGTTTAGCGAGCTGAGTCCTGGGATGTAGATGTCTCTGCTTGCATGGGTCAGGGTCCTCACCTGTAGGATGCGGGCAGCCAAGCTTCTATCTACTTCCAGACGTTGTTATGAGAGGGAAATAAGAATTCTGGAACTTAGGAGTGGGAACAGGATGGCAAAATTATAAAAGAAACTGCTGTCTGTTCCTACTGAACACTCGCCGGGAATTATTGTACTGAATGAACATGACCCACGCTAAGTGGAGGGAAATCAGCCACTGTTACTCTGGATAACCCAGCAGAGTTGGAGGACAAATACATGCCTTGCAGAGTTGGGTACAGGGAGCCCGGGGACAGGGCAGGAATACTTCTGCATTGCTGATCCAGGTGAAGTGCGAGCCCTACACTTGAAAGAGCCAGTTTCTCATGGAGGACCGAGGACCGCTGTGACTTTACAAATTCCAAACTCAGGAAAATCTATAGCAATTCAGAGACTCACACCCTGTGTACCAGGGCCACCCACTTACCTTTGGGATATCTGAATGGTACACAGATGGGTCCCACACAATTAGGATGCCTTCATTGTACAAACTGTCTGTGAGGAAGCGCTTTTCTGTGGTGACCAACTGCAGGAGAACACAGATAAGCTGTCACTTAGACACTGACATGTAAACATAGTAACGGACACATGATAGTACCACGTGAGGTCCCAAAGCCTCTGAGGTCCCAGAGCCCATGAGGCTGCTACGTTTTGTTGCAGGACCCCAGAAGAAAGTAAATTATCAGGCGGAACTCTGTGGACCTGAAAGGGCATTTTGTCACCATTGATCAGACATGGGGCAGCAGGGTTCCAGTCAGACTCTGAGAAGAGCCTGCTACTGTCTCCTTCAGTCCCACCTGGTGTCCTTAGCCCAGGGTTATGGGAGTGAGCGTTAGGATGGACTCATATAATCAAAAATGATCCCTGCAAGTCTCTCCGCTCACCTATAAAGTCCAGCATGCAGTTATTTACACACCATGTGGAGAAGGACATGGCCCACTCAGGAGTTCGCCCGCCACCCCTAGTCGTGTCTGCAGCATTGGCTGTGTTTATGGGTGAGCACCAAATGCAGCCTTGGCTTGTGTGTGGAGCCACATCTTTGGATATGAGACTCACCAGGCTGGTGAGATGCTCGCGTACAGCCTGCTGGGAATGGGTCAGTCCCCCAAGATCATCCTAGGCTCCTGGGCTACAGAGAGGGATCCAATGGGTGGAAAGAGGAGCTAGAAACATCCCTTAATCTTAAATGGACATTGTTCTCAATCTACCACAATAATTCTGGTGACCCATTAAGTGAGATACAAAGATTTTCTTAAAAAAAACAAAAGTTTCAAAATGGTTCAAGGAATGAGGAGACTGCTTTGTGGCTAACTCATTCTACGGTCTCAAGTGAGTCACTGCCCATCTCCAGAGTTCAGGTGCCCGATTTCTAGGATATTACCACACGATGAGACCTTCCCTGGGGATCAGTGGTGCCTGGACAACATTTCAGTATGTTAGGTTTCTAAGTGCAGCAGAAAGGACTTGAGGGAGAATAAAGTTCTTCTACTCAACTGTATGGGGAATCTGACCTGAATGTGGGCACCCCAGGGGGCCTCATGATGAGGAGACTAAGGCATTGCCAGAACAACAGAGACCAGAGGAACATCTGCCAGGAAAAGGTGACACAGGGAGATGGAACACTGCTGTTTTAGATATCTGCTTATAGTAACCTCTCCAGATGTGGAGAAAAGGGAACTCTCCTGCACTGCTGGTGGGAAAGCAAACTAGTACAACCACTATGGAAAACTGTTTGGAGGTGCCTCAAACTGCTAAACATGGAGCAATCCCACTCCTAGGTATCTACCCAAAAGATACAAAAACACTGATTCAAAAAGATATCTGCACCCCCATGTTTATTGCTGCTTTATTTACAATTGGAAAAACATGGAAGCAGCCCAAATGCCCAAAAGTAGATGAGTGGATTAAAAAGATATGGTACATATATACAATGGAATATTACTCAGCAACCAAAAAAAGAAACACATGTCTTTTGCAGCAACTTGGATGGAACTGGAAAAGATCATGCTTAGTGAGATAAGCCAGAAAGAAAAACAAAGTAACCTCTCCAGTTATAAAAGAAATGCTCAGTGCAGAAAGTTAGAACACACAAGCAATGAATACCCGTGCACACACAAGACACTTCTATATATACAAAGAAAATAACCATCCATAATTGCGTTCTTCAGATATAAACATTTTGAATAAATTATTCTCTTTTCTTCCCCAAAATTCTTTCTCTTTGTTATAGATTGATCAATAGCATTAAGACAATACAAACAAGGCCCTCCCTGGTGGCGCAGCGGGTTAAAGCACTGCATTAAGAAGCTTAAGCCACTTCTGCATGAGTTCGGTCCCCGCCTGCCCTGGAGGAGATCCACATGGCGAGGCAGACCTCTCCTGACCCACCCACTGCTCCCCTCAGCAGTGTATTTCGTCTATCTGCCTGTTGTGCACCCCACTCTGTCCCTGGTGAATCCTCTCACCCTCCGCATCTCTAGCCTGTACCCCAGTTCTGTATGAATAAATAAGTTAATTTTTTTAAAAAAAAAAAAAAAGACAATACAAACACTGTACTGAGATAGTGCTCAGACACAGAACTTACAGCAGTGCCAAAGACAGTACTCGAGACAGGACAGTGTCAAGGGGCAGTGCTCAAGGTCGGGGACAAGTCACTGGGTTCTACCTGTACACAACTGCAAGGCCACTCAGGCTCATGGTCCAGAAACAACAGGTTTATTGAACAAACAGGAGACTGGGGAAAAGGAAAGTGTCTAAGGTCCCAAGTGGCTGGCTGTCCCACCCCACTGTTTCCAATGGCCAGAAGTCTCAAAGGACACTAATAGAAGAGATGATGATGCAACACCCCACAGCAGCAGCCTGACAGCTGGGCCAGGCACTGGACAAGAAGACAGAGATGGACTCATCAGCACCAGAAGGTGGTGCCAGAGAACTAGAGGCTGTGGACAGTTCTCTGTGTGTATACCAACAGCAAAACAGATCTTTGGGACACCAGGCTAAGACTGATGATACTCATTGCAGGCAGTGTCAGAGGCAAGGATAGTGGCCAGGTCTCTGCAAAGGTCTACAGAGATCAAGAGGTCTGGAAGTCTACTGAGTCCCATGGAGATCAACTGCTCTGTTTCTCTCTTCGTAGGCTAGCTGCTGACTGACTCAAGCTGGTTCTTGTTCTGCCTTATATCCTCTTCAGGGACCCCTACCCTACAAGTCTGATTGGATCATTTTCAATCTGGAGCATTTGATTGGACCGGTTAGCACAAATCAGCTCACTTTCCATTTTCAATCCAACTAATTAACTCAAGGTTGAGTGACAGCTGAAGAGCTTGAACCTGATCAGTCCATTTTGTTCAAATCTCATTGGTCTATTTGGGTTGAGTCTGATTGGCCCATTTAGGATCACAGAGTCAGATTTAAGAGGAAAAAGTTTGCTCCCTGCCCAGGCTGAGGGGCACTGAAGTCAGGGCAGGCCCATAGGCCACAAGGCTCTGATTTCTATAGCTCCTCATATTCATATGTTGAAGCGCTCACCCCCACTGTGACTTTATTGGAGGAAGGGCTTTCAGAGAGTTGATTATAGTTAAATATAAGTCATAAAGATTAACATAATAATCTAATAAAAAATGTTTATTTTTACTAGCAACAACAAATGTTGGCGAGGATGTGGAGAAAAAGGAACTCTCCTGCACTGCTGGTGGGAATGCAAACTAGTACAACCACTATGGAAAACTGTTTGGAGGTTCCTCAAACTGCTAAACATGGAGCTTCCCTATGACCTAGCAATCCCACTCCTAGGTATCTACCCAAAAGACACAAAAACACTGATTGAAAAAGATACCTGTACCCCCATGTTTATTGCTGCTTTATTTACAATTGGAAAAACATGGAAGCGGCCCAAATGCCCAAAAGTAGATGACTGGATTAAAAAGATGTGGTACATATATACAATGGAATATTACTCAGCAGCCAAAAAAGAGAAACACATGTCTTTTGCAGCAACTTGGATGGAGCTGGAAAAGATCATGCTTAGTGAGATAAGCCAGAAAGAGAAAGAAAAATACCGGATGGTTTCACTCATAGCAGGAGTATAATGGACCAGGCGAGAAAATAACAAAAATAATGAACAACCATATACCAGAGACATTTTGTGGGGGTGAAGTGGGGAATGGGATCAAAAATGGGGCGGGGGGGAAATGCACAGGATTATGGTGGTGGCACACGGGTGATTTGGTGATGGGAAACCCGTGAGGATTACAATCGAGATGGAAAAAAAATGTGCAAAATGATGTAAAAATAAACTTTTATAATAAAAAAAAGACAAAAAAAATGTTGTTTTTTTTTATAAAAAAGGAAGAGATACCAGAAATTTCTTTCTCCATATGCACAAAAAAGAGAGACCATGAGAGAACCAATGAGAAAACTGTCATCTACAAGTCAGGAAGAGAACCCTTCTTGTGTTATACCAGAAAATAAAAAGTATCAAAAAGGAAAAAAAAAAATAAAAAAGATGAGGGCATGCATGTCACAGTCACTCCCACTGACCAAATCTGGGACAATTTGAGCATGAATATAATTCAGAACAACAATGAACTATAAACCATTGGAAAAAACAGAAACCCACAAGTGCTTAGCAATTTAACAGATAAAGATAAAGAAAGGAAAATGAGATATAGGGATGGATGGAGGAAATCCTTGGTGAAGAAGTGTTCTTGCTTATAGAAATTGGAATACCAGGTAGAGGATATGGAGAAGGAGGCTTGGGATCAATGAAAGTTAAGCATAGGAATAAATTTTAATAAGGAACAGAATAATGGCACTGTATTAAAGCGATTACTCTCCAACTGCAAAAGAAAAATAGTAATTTATCAGTGAAGAAATCAGCTCACACCTTATCCAAGTGATCAAAATGAAAATCAGCTGATGGGCAGATCAGTATTGATGCTTCCTTTTGTGATGCTCTTTGAAGGACACCGTATCATTTTTATAGTTTTTGAGCCAAGAATGCATAAACTGAATCTAATGTTGAGTAGACGTTAGAGAAGCCTAAAATACTTTTCTTATTTTTAAAAAAGGGACGTACTTCTTTTAAAGTACTAATATTAAAAGACAAAGCAATATTCCAGGTTAAAAGAGACTAAAGAGGTGTAACAATAACTCAATGTATTATGACATGTTTCTAAACTGGACCTTGTACCAGAAGGGGAAAAAATGTCATAAGACATTATTAGATCAATTCATAAAACTGGAATGCAGACAGATTAGGTAAAAGTATGGTATCAGTGTAAATATATGAAGCTGATAACTGTACTTTGCTTGCTTACAACAATCTTATCCTTACGAAATGCAAAGCAAAGTATCATCTAAGGCAGCTTGGACTACTTAAGAAAATACCACAGACTGAATAGCTTGGGCAGCTCTAGGTTGATTTACTGCGATTGCTATGCTGAAAGCATTTTACCACAAACATTCATGCCACAAAACCAATTGGCCAAAAGGCAATTCTGGCATTTAAAAAAAAATCTGAAACAT